AGGCCAAAAAATGAAACATTTCCAGGGATGAAGAACCCTCCACAGCCCTTGGCTAATTGCTCCAGTGGTTAATTATTTTCACTGTGAACAATGTGCGATTTATTGCTAGTCCAAATGTGTCTACCTGCCTTTTCCATCCGATCTTGTTATTCTTTTGTTTGCGAGGCTCAAATCCCAGTCCCCACAGAGATAAGTGTCACTCACGTATGTTTAGCTCTCCCTCCTTTAAGCTAAATAGACGGAGTCCCTTGAATCTAGCCTACAAGGAAGGAGGTTTTTAATCCTTTCATCATTTCCATGGCTCCTCTCTGGACCCTCTCTGTCACCCTGCATCCTCCTTGAGCTGCGCACCCCAGAACAGGACGCAGCAGTCCTGTTAGCTGTTGCATCGGTGCCAAATATGGAAGTAATATATCCTCCCTTCTCTTACTCAGTAGTGCCGGGTAAACATCCTAGGGCTGAATCCACAGCCACACACGGAGAGCTCGTGCTCATCTGATTCAGGGCACCCCAGGGTAGAGCCCCCTCCAGTAAACACTGGCTGCATTCCTTGTTCCTGAGTATGAACGCTCCTTTGGCTGCACTCCAGGAGGGAAAGGGCTCTGGCAGGGTGGACGAGCTCACTAGCCTGGCTCACTGGTCAGCAGGCTGCCCCAACGCAAAGCTGCAGGCAGCAAGTCCTTTCCTTGCTCAGTCCCCCTCCTGCTGGTACTGGCCTAGCCAAGAGAGTGCGCGAGCAGGCAGCCGCTCTTCATCCACCGCAAACAAATGATCTTGCGACTCCCCAGACTGGTAAGTCCTGTGGGGTCAGGGGCCAGCAATGTGACAGATGAGAGACGGGTGGGCCGAGCCCTCGGTTACTCTGCACTGAGCTGGGCTGGCCAGAGCGCCAACAGGGTCTTGATCGACCGGTGGCGCTGTCCAGGCACCCCACAGCCGATGGCACTCTGATGAGGGCCTAGGAGAGGTGCCTAGAAATTGCCCGTCCCAAGCAGCCCTGGCCAGCTCATTGCGTGCACTGGCGGGTCCGTCACGGGGTCGACGCTCAGACGAGCATCGACGTTTCCGTATGCCCAGTGCTCTCCTGGACGGTCTGCATGCTCCTTGGCCATCCAAAGCCCACGCTGGAAACGTCAGTGTCATGAAGTTCCTCCCACAGGGCTCAGTGTTTCCCGGGGCCCAGGGCCTCATCCCAAGTGGTGTGCTGCTCCAGCGAGTTGGCGGGAGGGCTGTCCCGGAGCAGCGGGTATTGCACGGCTCCAGCCCGCCAGGGACCTGGGAGGGAATCACACGGAGCAGCTGGAAGCAGTGCGCCAAGCACGGAAAGCGTGTGCCACGTGTCTCTGGCAGCGCAGCAAATGTCCTTCCTGGATTGCGCCATGGGGGCGTGCAGTGACCGCTGGGTTCTCAGCCTCCTCCTCGCCATGTAGGGCCTGGCGTCGTCACTGCAACGCCTGCTGTGCTGCCTGTGCCCAGCTCACTGGCCTCTTCCTCCAGCCTCCCTGGTTTGGTCGCTGACGCTGCTGTTTCCTGCAGGCCAGCGAGAGCGGTGCTAGATAGCGAGGGAGCACTGCAGAGACTCGCCACGGCCCACGCCCATCTCAGGGCCTCGCTCGTCCCAAAGGCATGTCTCTGCTTTGCTGCGGTTGAAGCCACTGCAGCGTCTGGGGAAGGGGAGCAGGGGCAGGAGGCTGTGGCCAAGGAGCTGGGGGAGTGCTCTGCATGGGCAGCCAGCGACTCTGGTCGATGGGGCCTGATGCTGCAGGCTGAGTGAGTTCTTGTCCATCTCAGGGAACCACCATTCCTTGGCCCAGTGGGCCTGAGCCCGGGGCGACTGCAGGCCACGCGCAGGGCGCGGTCGGGGCGCTAAGCAGCGTTGCAGGTGTAAAACGATAGGCAAGGGTGAGGTGAAACCCACACGACGTAGCTAGGTCGGCCACTCGTGGCGTGACAAGTATTGGAAAGCATGGGCAGGAGCCACACGGCGGCTGAGCCACAGAGGGAGCAGCCGCAGGTGGGCAGCAGGCAGAGGGACTGACAGCAGCCGGATTGAAAAGAAGGTGGGAGCACTGAGGGTTAAGTATGTCTGATGCCTTTCCACGCCTTTTAAGCCTCCAGGCTCTGTGGAGGAGGCTCTCACTTGCCACAGGGCCTCGGGTGTGTCGCCACAAACATGGATAAGAACTAAAGGAAGGAATCTGCCTGCAGAAGCTTTTCCTTCCGGCCTGGAGCAGCATGCGTCTTGTTTCCTAAAAGCAGGGCAGTTGCAATGCCTGCCCCCGAAATAAGGCACCTGCCTCCGGCCTTAGGATAGGCCGAAAGTCGATGGATTTGTTGGACGGTAGGTCACCGGGTGACTCACACACTCAGGGTAGCCACTCAGCACTTCTGCTCCCCACTGACGAGAGTGTCTAGCATGAGACCGTCCGGAGATCCATCCTCAGTCCTGGCTCTGCCGCAGACTCGCGTCTTGGAAAAAGCGCTTCTGGCTCTGGGTTTCCTAAGCCGCAAATGCCAGCGCAGGGCAAGCTAAGCCAGTGAGCGGCCCTCCCTCGTCTCAGTGGGCTGCGAGATTGTCAGCCCCAAGATGGTCTCCAGGGATGGGTTAGTTTTGCTCACGGCTCTGGTGTGCCTGGAATTTGCGGGGGTGCCGACGGGGCCGTGCCTGTGGCTGGATGCAGAAGGAGGCCCGGCTCTTGCAGTCAGCACTGGGTCTCTCAGCACGCCCCTGTCCCTTTAGTATCACCAGTAGGAAAAAAGCTACGCGGCCGGAAACCTGCGGGATCTGGCAAGCACGCGGTAAACAGCACGTTTCATGGGAACCCCCGTGTCATTGCAAAATGGCCATCCTGATTTGTGTGCAGTGACCATACCCGGAGTGCACACACAGCTGGGGCTTTGTGCGCACAGAGAGCCGTGCTGTGCATACCTGGCCATTGGGGTGCACAAACACCAGAGCTGTGTGTTCAGCCATAACAAAAGGATGTGCGGTTTAGGCATGTGAGCAGCCTAGAAAGTCAAGCGCTTGCTTTGACCATGTCTGCATTGTCCTCGGACCAAGTGCACACAATGAAAGCTGCTTCCCTCACAGCACAGATGTCAGAGCGGTCTGAGAGACGCACGCGGAGGATGCTAGAACTAAGCAAGAGCATTCTGGTAGCACAAAGCTTACTGAGTCCCCAGCCCTGGCGAGGGCTTGCTCATCAGGGTGTGGATGAGAGCCGGGTCAGAATTCAGAACTTCAGAGCGCTGTGTGGACATGAGAAAACTGCCCCTTCCTGGACAGGCCGTATCTTGGCCCAGGCCGGGGGCAGCGTTCCCGTGCGAAGGGAAAGGGCCTCTGGTAGCAGAAGCGAGGGGAGGGTGTCTCAGGACAGACATGCTGCCGCTCCTCAAAACCGAAAACCTGTCTGTGGCCTCCTCCCTCCCCCGGCCTATGTCTACACTCCACCAATCTAGCGGGAAGAGGAACACACATTGCACTCCGCAATTTGGGCACCTTTAGCCAATAGGTTTTTTTGGAAGAGGCTTTTCCGAAACTGGGCCTGTCTACACTAGGCCAAATTTTGGAAAAGCCTCCTCTTTCAGAAGAGCCCTTCTTCCTCATGGGAGGACGAAGACAGGGCTTCTGGAAGAGCCCATCTGCTCTTGCGCAAAAAAGAGCAGAAGAGCGGACGTGTTCTCTGGACACAGCAGAGTTTTTCCGGGATTCCAGAGTTATCCCAGAAAACCCCATAGTGTAGACAAAGCCCCAGTGCTGTAAAACTGAAAACATCTCTGTGGCCTCCTCCCTCCCCCAGCGCTGTCTGCCAGCCCTTCCTTTGCTTTCCTGATTTCCATTTTGTACCCTAAAATATTCACTCCCAGTTCCGCTTGACAGACGTGCCTAATCGAATCTCCGCATCTGCTTGCTAATTTCCACAGTCAGGCTAAAACAAATCGGCTGGCATTAATTGCCTGCGCAGCGGCCTGAAGCTTTGAGCTGTGATTTACGAGCTCGGAGCAGGCACTCTGCAACACATTTTTCTTAATTTATTTTTAATGAGTCTCTCAATTAATTTTCTTGGAAACATCTTAATGATGTTGGAGGCGGGTGTTAATGAGGTCTACACCAGCTCCTCATTTTGCATATTTTAAAGTGCTGAATGGCATCCCAAGTGTGCGCTCTTAGTTTTAACAGGGGAAATTGCTAATGGTTGGATGCACATTTTTTCTCATTTAGTGCATCTGACGGGCTAAGCAACGACAGACTCTGGGTCTTTTGGTGGCCTTAGAGCAAAGGCCAGTCTCCCAGACACACCCCAGCTGGGCCTTCTGACGCCGCTAGGTGCCTTTTGGGTCCGGGCCCCACAGTTACAGCGCTGTGACGTGTCAGGTTTAAAAGCTGAACTCATGAGATGTCCGATTTTGTAAATCCCATGACCATGAGGAGGCCCACAGTGGACTGTGAATTTGGTAGAGTCTAGGCCGGCCTGTGTGAGCGCCTGGGTCTGGCAAGAAGGAGCTGAGCCCAGAGAGCAGCACCTGGTCTAGCCCTGCAGCCAGCGGGGAACACAGGGCTCCTGGGGACCTGGGCACTGCAGAGATCAGCTACTTCATTCAGGTGGTTTCATGTTCTTTTCAGCTCTTGCCACTCTTGTGTCAGGGGCACCATCTATTGGGGGGGTAGGTGGGCAGTAGCCCCTCTCCCCCATCACCCAAGTTCGATCCCTTGGATTTCATGCCTGTAGCCCATGCCCTGACTCCAGAGCCAGCTCTTAAATGCAACAGTTTGGGCTGCTGGCAGCTTTGCCTTTGGGGCAGGGAGTTTGCTACAACAAGGCAGTGGGGCAGGGTGATTAAGAATAGCAAAAGGCTGGTTATTCAGGTAAGGGAAGGGTCGTTAGAGCATCATGAAAACATTGCCGGGTATTCCATTTAAAAGATGGGGGAGGGAGTGTAGGAGTGAGTGTTGTGCTGCAGGGATCTGCATTTAGATCGCTCCTGTAAAACTTCTCATAAATGTTCTTGAAAGGGGTGAACAGGGACTAATCCAAAGCTGACGGCAAAGAGTTCCAAAGGGACGTCACAAAACTGGGTGACTGGGCAACACAAGGGCAGGTGGTTGATAAGGGTGAAGTTTTGTGGCCCTGGATAAAGATGATGCAGGGGGAAGGAAGGAATCGGTCCCCACACGTTTGGTGCTTGGCTTGTACCGAGCATGCTCAGGAACGCTGCTGAAGCTTCTGTCCTCAGTCTCTCCATGCCCCCCATCACGGCATGCGCAGTTCGCCCACCCCATCCACCATGGCGCCCCTCCCTCGTGTCCTGAGACGTGGGCACTTCCCTCCCGCACTGGGCTGGCTGTGTCCCCGCAGCCCCGCGTTCTCAGGCCAGGGAAGGCCCCAGCTTTCCCTGAGGGGCAGGCCCGCACCGTGCGAGGTGGAGCTGGGTTGTGGGCAGGGATCCCCAGACTCGTGTGCATGGCCAGAGTCGCACTTTGGTTTGCATCGCAGCCTAATGTAACTCGCCCCTCTGCCCAGAGCACCCACCGTGGCTTCCAGAACCGCATCCCCAGCTGCCGCCTCACTCCTGCATGGACCGGCTGCCCCAGGAAGGGCAGGCTTTCTTCCTCGCGCCTCCACCGGCTCTCCGGGCCGCCCGGCTAATGGGCAGCAGGCGGTGTTCTGCGAGCAGCGGCCCTGCTGCTCCGGGAGCTTGGTGGGAACGAGGGGGCTGCTCTCAGCCACCCTGGCTCTCCTGTGCAGGCTGGGGTGGGGCTTTGTCCTCCGACCTGCTGAGGCTGCAGGGAGAGGCTGCAGCCCATGGCGCAAGCGGGCACTTCCTGGGTCAGGGACAGTTCCCGGGTCAGGGACAGTTCCCAGGTCAGGGACAGTTCCCGGGCCTGGGCTGGACAGCGGCTGCAGGGTCCGTGGATTCTGCGTCTGTCTGGCAGACCCCCCCGCCTCTCCTGGTGACTGTGCCCCTGGACTATGGCAGCTGGGGTGCCCGTCTGCGCTCACCACTGGCTCACAGAGGAGTGAGCAGGGGTTTGCTCTTGTCCCTGCCAGATGCGGCAGCTGTTTAGTGTCAATCAACGTGGCACTGAAAAGACTCCCGTGGAGGCAGGACTCAGGGCGAGACCAGGCTTCTCGCTCCCCGGCAGCCCTGGCCTGGTTGCGGGGAGCCGAGCCCTAGCAGGAGTTGGGTTGGGGGCTCCCTGCTGCTTTGTCCTGCCATGTGAGGGGTGGGCCCCTGGGGGGCAGCTTTCCCTAGAGGTGCCACTCTGTGCAGCACCCGAGCTCGCTGGAATGCCCCTGCATGCCCAGACGCTGGCATGGCGCCCTCGTTCCAACCCCCCCGCTTCCTTCCTGGGGCCCCCCCACGCAGCTGGCGCCTCCGCTCTCTCCCCTCGGGGAGACATTCTGATTGCCCAGCTATCGCGCATCACAGCTTCCGCTGGAAACGCTCCCTGATTGGCTCCTTCTTCCCCTCCCAAAGCGCCTGGCCCCCCGCAACCCCCACATCCTCTGGCGCCTCAAGAGGCGGCTCAGTGAAAGCCACTTACGGGTGTTCGTCTGTAATGCTATCCCTGTGGGGCGGGGTCCCCCTCGTGGCTCTCGGGTCGCTCTGCACCACAGCATGGAGCCACGGTGGTACCTGGCTGCCCCTGCTGTGGCCAGGCGGGCACGTTTGTCTTGCTGTGCACACAGACCCTCTGGCGGGCTGCCCCCTCTCTGCGCTGGGCAGTAGGACACCCCACATGCCCGGCGCTCGGTGCTGGGGGGAGTGCACGGCTCCTGCAGACAGCGGGGCTGCCGGTCGGGGTGGGGGCGCAAGCGTGGCTGACACGTGGCTGGGCTGTGGACAGACAGGCCTGTGGCCCCCATATGGAGCTGACGCAGAGGAGCTTCCTGCCTGCCAGGGCCGGGGCCATTCTTCAAACTCCCAGGCGCTTCTCATCACAGTAGCCCAGAAGCCTGGGGCGAGCAGAGACCTCAGGAGGCGTCGTGGGCCAAGGCAAGGCTGGCGCTTCGGATAGGAAGCCGTCAGACTAGGTGCTGGCTTCCGTCGGACACGCTGTGCAGCTGGCATGGAGCTCTTCTCCGGTCCGGGAAAGGTCTTGGGGTGTCCCAGCCCCACACCAGGCGCAGCAGCGAGCTCAGTGGCCGTGGTCCCTGCAGTGTTGGTGCTAGCCCAGTCGTTGTCCTTGTCAGGAGCTGTGACGCACTGAGGCCTTTCCCGGGCCTGCCCTGTCACATTATTGGATTGTGAGGGGAGCAGCCGGGTCACTGCTGCACCCATGGGGGGGTGATTGCCCCAGAAGTGGTACAAAGGGGCCATGTGAGGTGTCAAACAAAAGCTTACTTGCTACTGATTCTGTATCTGCTCCTTATATATCTGTATAATGCCTGTGTGTGGAGTTAGGGATCTGGACTCTGTATGGAGACTGGAAGTTTCTCTGTATGTGGGTGAGTAATGGGCCAGGAATGTTTGCCTATGGCCATGCTAATGAGCAAATCTCCAGGGAACAATGGATCTCTGGAGGCCAAAGACACCCTTGGCCACTGGCCATGTGACTCTAGCCAGCTTGGAAGGACCCAGGAAGGAGGTACAAATAGGCCATGCGGCCGACTCCAGGGGGTCTCCAGATCTGTTCCTGACCCCAGATGCGGCCTCACAGGGAATCAGGAGCCAGGAAGAACTGTGGACCCATCCTGCCATACGATGTGCACCAAGGACTTTTAAGCCAGCAGCTGTAACATCTCTGTTAGAGCCTGCATCGAGAACTGGGAGATTCGATGCATGTAATGTACTATCCTTGAACAACCTCACTCTCCTGCTTTTCTTTATTGTGATACTAAACCTTTAGGTGTTAGATGCTAAAGGTTTGGCTCAGCGTGATTTGTGGGTAAGATCCGGAGGGTAAATTGACCAGGGATCTGTGGCTGGTTTCTTGGAACTGGACAGAACTTGTTCAGGGTAGGTGGGATTGGGTGCTAGGACCCCCCACCTGTGTATGAGGCCCGGGGCCATCTGGGGCATGGATATTGCTGGGGTGTCGGAGGGGTTTTGCTCATGAGGCTTCAGGCAGGCAGCTGAAGCGCTCTGTGGGACTGGTTTGTGGTCTGTTTGGGAAGGTCTCCAGTCTGGGGGCTGTAAGGAGCCCCGAGTTTGAGCAACTCACCCTGAGCGGATGCCCTCAGCTGTGCCCAGACCCAGTCCGGTCCATCACCATCCTACCAGTGGGAGTATCCCCCCATGTCTCTACTGTCCTGGGACCGGCATGGCTGCAGGCCCCGCTGCTAGAGAAGAAACAGGCTCCCCAGCAGCGCATGGGGTAAACAGAACCGCTTGATTGCCCTCAGCCAGTCCACACAATGCCCGAGTGGCAGCAAGTCGACAGGAGTTCGAATCTCATCTCCGGTTTAGTATGATAGCTCACACGTCGATCACGACTTTTCCTAAACCCTAACTCCCATGCAATGAATATTAATCAGCAAGTAATAAATATACTTATACCCACCCTAATTACTATTTGTATCACTGCTACTTGAATCACTTTTCTATACAGGGAACTAGCAGGCTACGGGGATGACGAGGATCTTGGCCCTGAGGCTGTTTCTTACAGCGCCCACGAGCGGAAGCAAGCGACAGTGCAGTAGAGCAGCCAGATGCTCATCTGGTTTCCTAGGCTACAAGAACGAAGGGCAAGCCCGTGCCCAAGGGCAATGCCGGCTGTGGCTGAATCCGCCCCCCCCGACCCGTTCGTTTCACGTGGCCGAACACCCACATTCCCGTGGGCCCACAGGGCGGCCCTAGACGAGCTGCCAGCAACTGGCGCCCCTGCCAGTGGCACCCCCCAGCCCCTCCATGATATTGCGCCACCATTTGGCGCCCCATTTAACTTGGCGCCTTCGGCGACCGCCTAGTTCGCCTCCATGGACGGGCTGCCCCTGCCAGACGGGCCCAGTCCCCGTGGGCGCAGCTCCGGACTCCGCTTGGCCCCTGCAGCAGCTGACCTGGGTGTGAAGGGGGGAGAGGACGGGGTGACACCACCCCAGGAGAGGGGGCAGCGGGCTGCCTGGGGATGCTACCCAGCCCTGGCTGCAGCCGCAGCAGCTGCCCCAGCTCAGCTTCTGGGCACAGTGACTGAGCGAGGGAGGCCGCTCCTGCTCCTCAGACTTGGCTCCCAGAAGCTGAGCCTGAGCAGAGAGCAGGCTGCTGCCCCTTCAATTCAGGCTTTCCCGCAGGCAGCTGCTCCTGAGCTGGGGGCTCTGACTCCCTCCACGGCTGGGCCGGGGGGTCTGACTCCCCCCGCC